AAAAAAAAAAAAAAAAAAAAAAAAGCAGCAGCTTACAGCAGTGTTGGGCAGTCTATTACCTATTTAAAGGGTCTCACAAATAGCCTGACTGATTTTATTAGGAAAAGAAAAAAGTGCAACACAAAAACAGTTACTCTAATATTAACCCCCAACTAACAGGGTTCTTCACAACCCTGAAGGGTTGGAGAAGGCAGGAGAAGTGAACAATCTAGGACAACATAGCTGAACTGGAAAGTGAGCTGAATTGCAGAGTTTTTCCAGTTCAGCTATGTTGTCCTAGATTATTCACTTCTCCTGTCTTCTCCAAACCCTTCACCCTTTTGTGAATAGACCCTGTAAGTTTAGGATTCAGCATATGAAGTTTCACTGGTATAAGGGTACATGTGAACAAGCAGAACACCACAACGTATGCTAGCAGTATGCCCACTGATATGTACAGTATAGTACTGCTGCAGGAATTCACAATTGCCAGGTTCAGGAGGGGTACGCAGGAGGCTCACGCGTATCTTCCAGGCATTAAGTTCTCTGACAAATTCTTGGAAAAGTAAATCACCTGCACATAACACAAATTAAACAATAAAAAAGGGACAGAATTCAGTAGGTCTTAATGAAGAATAGTAATTGCAAAGAACTTGCGCTAATGGAAAAAATAATCAAATATGTATAAAAGTAGATAAAATGGATAAAAATAGAAAATTAAAAATGTATTAAATTGTTCTGGAAGGGTAAGGGAAGCTGCTGAACAAAAGGCACTCAGCCCCTATTAGGATGTGTTATTTCAAAACGTACAGCGCTAGCCGTCCTTCAGATGTGAATATAAGAACTCAGACGTTGAGATCAGGATTTAACAAGTGCTATTAAAAAAATGTATAATTAATAAAACATTCAGTGAAGGGGTGTATCTCAAAATATTCAATGTGAATCAGTTGTGTGAACAAATAAAGTTCATAAATTATCAAAACAGACAATGTATAAATTTATCTAATAAAATGTGATAGGCTGTGAATATATGTATCATGTGTAAGTGATTCTTGTTAATAAATAGTCAAATGGACAAACAATGTGATCTAGTGTGATTAGTAAGGTCACACTAGATCACAGGGAGCCTGCTCGCCTCCTCCCTGCAGAAAGACAAGCAGATTGGATATCCCACCGGAGGGACCACTAAAATACGAGGATATTCCGTTTAAACATCACGGGTAAAACGGGAGACCTTTCCTTCCCTGAAGCCTGATCGAGCGTGGAAATTAAAGACGGAGCTGCAGACTTACCTTGATGAAACAAACGTGTTTAACATCTTCGGATCTGGTGAGTGCATTCCCTTGAGGGGATTTTCGCTGCATTTTTTCTACATTTTGTTCTTTATTTTTGTCTTCATTTTTTCTTCACTATTTTTTCCTCGTTTTTTGGATTTTTGTTGGACACATTATTGCACTGAATTTTCACTGTCGAAGTGTCTTACATTTATGGATTTCTAAAGACTATATAAAAAAACTACAAAAGATTTGGACTATTCACAAATACATCGAGAAAAGTTTAATTTTGTTTTATTTTATTTAAGTGGTACACATTGTTTGTCCATTTCACTATTTATTAACAAGAATCACTTACACATGATACATATATTCACAGCCTATCACATTTTATTAGATAAATTTATACATTGTCTGTTTTGATAATTTATGAACTTTATTTGTTCACACAACTGATTCACATTGAATATTTTGAGATACACCCCTTCACTGAATGTTTTATTAATTATTAATTTTTTTAATAGCACTTGTTAAATCCTGATCTCAACGTCTGAGTTCTTATATTCACATCTGAAGGACGGCTAGCGCTGTACTTAATGAAGAATAACAGGTTCCTATGTTTGCTTTCCTTCTGTGCTTTATACAACTGTCTTCATGACCCAGCAAGCAACTTGGGAGGAGTATATGCTTTGGGAGGTCTGATAATTTGTGTATTGGAACCCCTCCTAGGTTCAGATATTGTGAGGACAAAGCAAAAGGAGCCCCTCCATAATGTAAAATGGATTTATTACGGATAAAACACACAGCTGAAAAGGTACTTACAAATCAGCTTGTATAAACAAGCAGAAAGCGATAAAATTTTAGACCATCAAGATGAATGCACAAAATGGGGTGAGGGAAAGGAAGTGCTGGTACTAAGCCGAAGCCATCTGCACACTGACCCTCCTTCAGTTTGACGCGTTTCTGAGGGCAAACCTCTTTCATCAGAACCTTTGTCCTCAGAAACGCGTCACCTGAAGGAAGGTCAGCGTGCAGATGGCTTCGGCTTAGTACCAGCGCTTCCTTTCCCTCACACCATTTTCATATATTCATCTTGATGATCTCCTAAGATTATATCGCTTTCTGCTTGTTTATACAAGCTGGTTTGTAAGTACCTTTTCAGCTGTGTGTTTTTTCCCTAATAAATCCATTTTACACTATGGAGGCGCTCCTTTTGCTCTGTCCTCATCTGATTTTCGGTTTCCCTTGACTGTGAGGAGCTGCCCCCCTGTATATACTTTTGGAAGACCATTTTCAGGAGCAGTTACTGTGTTTTAGCGCCTGTGATTTTCACACATGTTTATATTGAGAAACAAAATTTGTAAGTTATATTTGGCAAGATGAACAACTTTTGAATCATTTTTTTAGAGTTATCCTTAACATTTCCTAGGGATCAGGGCATATAGTCAGAAAGCAAAAAACACTTTATGACCACATCCTGACAAAAGCCCATTTTCCCAACTCATATGCTACACAGAAGTTCTAGGTAGGGAAGCTATTTACCAAGTCACTACCTTGGGAAGTAGAGCAAGGGCCTGATCATCATTGCCATCACAAGTACTTTATGCTTCTAAATCATCATGCTTACCTTTCTTCCTAGGAGTTATCTCAGTCTCTTTTTTTGGTGAAGGCTTGGAGAAACGATAAGCATATATATTTTTTACATCAAGTTCCCTTTCTTTCTCCTGCGTAAAAGAGATTGTAATAGAAATAATTCTTACATAAGCACATAGGCTCATTACTATCAATGACTGCAGCAATCAGAGAGCCTCTTATAAACAATATATAAAAAGGTAGCTTAGTTTCAATTTACAGTTTTACTGTAAATTCAATTAACAGTAAAACTATAACATTTATTTGAAAAAAATAAATGGAAGACCATGGCATCTTATTTTGTCTGTGTAGTATTTTTAAAGTCTGTTTCATGGTCAATCTGACTTTCATAACCTGATTTAAAGGGTTATTAAACCCTTGCATGTTTTTGCATATATCTACTGCTGGCAAGCAGGGTTAATACTTACCTATGTCTCTGTCTCGCGCTCCTGTCCGAACATCTGAAAATGTCTATGTTGGCCGCAAAGGATCTTGGGGCAGGCGCATGCGCAGTTCAGATGTTCGGCCGGGAGACGAAGAGAGACACAAGGTAAGTCTATGGAGCAGCGTGCACCCACACAGACTCCATGGGACTGGAGAGAAGAGGAGGACAGAGGAGTCAGCGCTGGATCAGAGACCCACACCAGGGCTGGAGGCACAGCTAAAAACTACAGGAAAGAAGAAGATTGGATAATGAGGCATTTAACCCTTTCGCTGCCAAGCCCTCCGGAACATTTTGCAACTCAGCTGACGCACGCCATTTTTTGCAATTTTTCCCATTGATTTGATTTTCAACTGCTGTGTTGCTAGCGTTTGTAAAAGACCCCCCAAACCATATATTTTCTGAAAGCGCAGGCCCGGTAGAATAAAAAGCTGGTGATACTAAATTTGTAGGCCATGCGATAATTGTGCAAATGTTTCTCAAATTAATATTAAACCGATAAAAATACCCAATTCAAATCGATAAAGCACTATAATCAGTATTGGTGCACAAAAAAAAATATTTTCTGACAATATCTAAAAGATGAAACTGTATTGAGTTAATTAATAACAAAAATTAGCAAATTTGAAATTGCGCCTTTTTGCGAAAAGGCAAAAAAATGAAGGTACGCAAAACTGTAAATAAGCGACATGTCTTAAAAATGAAACAGGCGTATATTTAATTGCAACACAAGGTATCACAAAGCTTTGCCATGCACTGCCACAGTTAAATTCATGTTTTTTTTAAAAGATAAAAAAAATCATGCACTGCGATGCATTCTAACAACGCACTGCAGTGCATGGCGTACACCACAATATGGTGTATGTTATGTGTGTGGGGGAGGGAGGGGTTGTGTTTTTTTTTTATTAATTTTTTTTACATTTATTTAATTGTATTTTTTTTTTTTACTGTTGTGGGGCTATGGTGAAATATCTGGGGTCTAAACAGACCCCCAATATTTCCCTTTTGAAATAGAAAAAGAAATTGAGGACAGAGTCCTCAATTTCTATTTCTGCAGCCCCAGCACTCAATGAATGGGAAGCACTCAGTACAGAGGCTTCTCATTCATTCACAAACTGATGACAGTAAAAATATTTTACTATCATGTTTATGAATGGGGAGGAGCCTCTTTACTGAGTGCTACTCCCCATTCATACATTTATGAATGAACAGGAAGTGATGTAAAGCACAGCCTGTTCATTCATAACTGGGGAAACATAGTACTATGTGTCCCCAGTTATTTACAAACACCGGATTGATCAGACGATCGCTCCGGTGTTTGCTCTGCACAGCGGGATCGATAAATATCAATGATATTTATCAATTCCCAGTTCGGCCACGCTACACAGAGCCGGTCATCCGACAGGATGACAGCGACTCCGGTATACTTGCCGCTCTGCCATCCTGAATTGCGGCCAGCCCCCGTTTGCTCCTTTGTCCCCCCCCCGCCGGGGGTTTTTCTTCGGATCCCCGCTGCCACAGAGCCATGAGCTTATAGCAGAACTGTAAATGCCAGGTCCGTACGGCATACGTCCTTGGCCAGCCGGGAACAGTGTTTGTTCCTCAGTATGCCATACGTCCTTGGCAGGGAAAGGGTTAAGGTAAGTCCTTACATTAGCACTTGAGGGGGACAGGACTTTTGTCATTAATGTCAATTTGATAATACGTATAGCAAATACATAGTTTCATGTGTAAGAACACATTATTTCAAAAATTATTTTTTGCTATACACATGAGGAAACACTATCTGGGATAATCAGAAAGAGTACCTAAGTGGAGGAATTGTTTGACTCTACAACTCTCGCCAGTGTCATAAGATTATTGGCCTTCCATCAAATGAAGTTCATTTCAGTTCAATTCAGGGTTTGACAAGAGAGAAGAGGGAATTTGAGGGTGTTTGACGTGTGCGTTCAATGTGAGTGAAATGGGAAATTAAGTTCTAATTCATTGATGCGTTTTACATGCATTCTGGGCACCTTTTGGGTGACTTGTACCACTCTGCAATATCTTACAAAATACTGAAGTTTAGGACTATCTATTTGTTTAACAGAGATGTGCAGTATTTATATAACTATTGGCATTAGAACTATATAAGCAGCATTTACATGGCAGTTTTGGTTAATTCAGTATATTTGTCGTCCAGCAACCTGGGCCTGGTGCCCTTCTCAGGATTACCCTATGAAATCAAATAAGTATGAAGTATGAGACCTTTACTAAGCTCCTACTGCTGGAAGCAACCAAAAGGCTAATGGTAACTCTGACAATACACAATGCCACTTTTTAGATGGGGTGGGGCAGCGATAGGACATACTCAACGGGCTTTATGAAACAAACCAAAACTAATGGTAAAAAAAAAAAAAGCAAATCCCATTTTCAGTTTGTCAAATAGCACAGGGTAGACAAAAGCATGTGCAAATAGGTGGCCATGCTGCTAAATGCTATTTGTGGTGAAAAGTCAACAAGGCCCATTACTCTGAGAATATTAAGACCAAAAAAACCCCCACAACCGGACAACCACCTTTAACTTCTGAATCAAACGCTGGAGCTCTTCCTGTAATAATTTGTTTTCTTCTTGTACATCATGGGCTTTCTTTTTTTCAGACAGCAACTGTCTCTGGAAGCTGCTCTGAGTTAGTTCAATATTCTTCTCCAGCTCCTAGAAGATACCAAACGTGCATCAAAATCAGTTATGATGATAATCACTATGAGATTGAAGAGAACATACATGAGAGAAATAGAGGCATTCATCGATAAGGTCCTTCTTAAATATTAGTTGCCTAGATGCCATGCTAAAGTAATGGCTTCCATATTTTTTGAGTCACTGACCCAGAAAAGATACGCAAAACTGATATCACTGCATAACTTTCTGGATATGCAGGTTATACAGTACTGAAGTAAGGATCAGCATGATCCTTGTGGAGCCTGCACAGGTTTAGCCTGCGGAACTGAACGAGAACAAACTACTATCGTATGGAGTATGGGTGCCTCTAATATAAATCTGATGATGATTCAGTACAGAACTGAAAACCACGGGTTTACTTTAAACTGAGATGTTGACACTTGCAATTCAGACCAAACACATGGGAGACCTTAAGCAACCTTGGTACCGGTTTGTGCAGTGTGACATGTTTACATGCCAACATATTTTATAAAGATTCTATTCATTTTCTGATGTACACTAAAATGTATTATAATATAGGACAAGAGTAGCAATCTCAAACCCAAAATATTAAACTATGCATGATGGAGGAAAAAAAAAAAGTTAATACCTTTACTCGCCTTTCTCGTTCGTCCAGTCTGCTTTCCATCATTTCTACTTTTCTAGTGAGCTCGTCCCGTTCTGGAAGATGTCTATTTTCTGAAAGCTGCTTTAACTTTTTTAAGGCAACATTTGTCCTGTAGAGCTCATCTTCCGTTTCCTTTAGTTTCTTCTCTATATTCCGTTCCCTTTCCTGGGATTTGCGCAGACGCTCCCTCAAAATCCGAACCTCGTTATTATGTCTCGATAACAGCTGTGAGATCTCATTTTCTGTATCTTCAAATTTATTCAAGGCTTTTTCTTGCCTGAAATGCAGTGTTTTTAGAGTCTTATTTTCTTTTTGATATTCTTCAAGTTTCATTTGAAGTTCTACAACTTCATTTCTTAGTTCATTTATTTTCAAAAGTCGAGCAGAAAGAACTCTTTTGGTAACCATATCAATGTCCTTTGGAGAGGACTCCTTGTTCAAACTCTGGGAGCGAAATCCCCACCTAGGTCCCCGTTTACTTGATGGAAACTTGGAGTTAATTCTCTTAATACCTGGATGCAAGAAGAAAAGTGAATTTGAAAGTCAAATACCAAACTGTCTCTGCTAATGTTCTTGTTTGGAACCATTGCCAACAAAGGATATTAAAAAAAAAGAGCACGTAGTTCTTTTAAGAGAATATATTACAATATTATACTTAGAATATTAAGATATTAAAATGTATTTATGGGCAATTTTAAGCACACCTTAAAAAGGAGTATAACTTTCTAATTTTCCTACCTACACCAAAGCAAGCACTTAACCCTTGCAGTGCAGGGGTAGCCCCACTGCAAGGGTTAAACAAAAATGTACCTGGAGTTCTGCTTTAAAACACACACACCTTGAAAAATCCGCTCGTCCTCTCCTCTGTGACGAGAGGACGGCGGAGCCAAACAAGTAACTCTAGAGACGCCCAATCACTTGTATTAGCAGCTGCTGTCACTGCCGGTCCCGAGACTTGCTGTGCCCGGTGCAGCCAGGACCGGCATGGCTGCTCTTTGACAGGAGATCAAAGGGAGATTGATAGACAATCTCCCTTTGATCTCCTCTCCAGACCCCGAATGCAGGAAGTTATGTATATTACATCACTTCCGCATTCCTCTGTCACAGAATCTGGAGCAGTTACTTATGGAAACCAATCAGCATCTCTCTTCAGTGTGCTCAGGTAAGATTTGAAAATGAAAGATAGAAGTTGATTGGCTGCAGCGCAAATCTGCTCCAGATTTTGTCTGCTCCTGTTTTGATAAATTGCCCCCAGTATGTCCTATTTTGGACATAACGGTGTGAAACTGTGCACACTCCTAGTTTTGAGACCACCTAGCACTGACTGGTCTTCCATTGCTCTATCCAATCAATGTATATCCAATTAGGTAGACCCTTGCATTACATAGTTGTTGGTACATCTAAAGGAGATTGTAATGTATGTGGTAAGTGGTGTCTAGGATAGGATGGTTAGAATTAGGGTAATGATTTATGGTGTCAGCCAATAACCTAGTATTATCCAGGGGTCAGTTATTGTTTCTCACCTAAGACTAGTGAGTGATGACAACCCCAAATCAAAAGGTAAAAAAAATAACTGCAGTTCACCATTAAGGTTTAACTCTAAAGTGGTTTTTAATGCATCACCACTTTACGATTTTGTGTTTTTTTTGCCATTTCACAAACATATGTGGTTTTTAATCTAGATAAATTTGTACATATGAACTTGACAGTCTTGTCTTTACAGTTAATGAAAAACGCAGAAATGATATTGTGTTTGTGTGCATTAAAATATACTTATTTTATATAAAAATAGATTTTTTTTATTTCTAATATAGATTTCATGAACATTTTTGCATGTCTTCTATTTCTCAGTTACATGCCCCTTTATTTTCACCACCTGGCTACTCTATTCTATCTAGCTGAAACACATTTCTAGAGCGAAAACTGATTTATCTGCATCCCAGAATGCATTCTCGGTTGTTGCTCAACTCATACACCATAAGATTATTGCTAGCAAAAATTGAGAATAGATTTATGCTAGAAACTAGCAATTTAACTTTAACTAGCATTATAAATACATAAATGTACCAAAAAGTGACACATAAATGAATGCATAATATTCAGAAAAATACGAATACACTTACCACGGGTCTGTACCGGTATAATAGATCTTACTTTATAGTCTGCTTTTTTTGCACGGGGAGATATGGAGCTGGGTGTTGGGGATCCTTCCGACCCATAGGTTGTGTTTTCATATTCATCAGAATAATAAGAGTCACTATTCTTGTCAGTGCCAGGACTTCTATCCCGGGTACTCCTGGTAGTTCCCCATTCTTCCCTAGCCATATCCTGATCACCCTTCATCTTGCTTGGTTTATTTTTCTTCTTAGTGTCAGTTTTGGAGCTGGTAGATTCCAGAGCCGATGAAGGACTTTTTCTTGTCTGTCTGTCACTTTCATCATACTGAGAGTATGGACTCCTGCTGTTCATGACAGTGGCCTACTCATTTCTGCAATAAAAAAAAATATATATCTGTTATTATACGCTGAAAACAAGTGTCCTCCAACCTAAAGTTTGCGATCCAAAACCTGACATGGAGATGTATTCTTTTACTCTTGTGGTCAAACCTTTAACAATCCTCCATTAAAAATGTTAATGCTCCTGCTTGCCTCCCAAGAGCACTGGCATATCTCCCATGCTTGTTGCAAAGGAGAATGATGTTACCACTGCCTGGGGTGGTAATACCAGTATTTTGCTGTACAGTTGTGCAAGGAACCTTCATTTTGTCATCAAAGGCCACATGCAGCAGCTGATGGGAGACTTGATGCCGGTGTTCTATTAATCCAGGAAACTATGGAGAGATAACAATCCTAAGAATAGTCTGGATCTATCCTGGAAACTATAGAGGTAGAAATCCTAAGAATAATCTGGATCTATCCTGGAAACTATAGAGGTAGAAATCCTAAGAATAGTCTGGATCAATCCTGGAAACTATAGAGGGATAGAAATCCTAAGAATAGTCTGGATCAATCCTGGAAACTATAGAGGGATAGAAATCCTAAGAATAATCTGGATCTATCCTGGAAAGTATAGAGGGATAGAAATCCTAAGAATAATCTGGATCAATCCTGGAAACTATAGAGGGATAGAAATCCTAAGAATAATCTGGATCTATCCTGGAAAGTATAGAGGGATAGAAATCCTAAGAATAGTCTGGATCTATCCTGGAAACTATAGAGATAGAAATCCTAAGAATAGTCTGGATCCATCCTGGAAACTATAGAGGGATAGAAATCCTAAGAATAGTCTGCATCCATCCTGGAAACTATAGAGGGATAGAAATCCTAAGAATAATCTGGATCAATCACGGAAACTATAGGAGGGATAGAATCATGATCCATAGTACATAACATGTAGTTGTAAAGTCATTTAAAGTCACCTGTCCCTTTAAGAAATAGTATCAGTAATTGGTATCGACAAGTACATGAGGGGAAGTACTTGTACTTGGTCCTGAAAAAGTGGTATCGGGACATCCCTACTGGAAACTATGGAGAGATAGAAATCCTAAGAATAGTCTGGATCAATCCTGGAAACTAGAGAGATAGAAATCCTAAAAGGTGCCCATACACCTGCCGATTATCGTACGGTAATCGCGGGGAAATCCCGCGATCTTATGATAATTGGCAGGTGTATGGAAGGCGTGCGACCGTTTCTACTGTGCGGTCGCACGTCTTTTGTCTCTCGAGCAGGCTTGAAAACCCGCCGAGAATCGTACCATTGTCGGCGGGTTAGTGGCATTCTCGGGAGACAAGTGCTGAAAGGGCCAGTGTACGCAAGCGCACACTGCCCGCTCAGCGTTGCACTCATCAGAAAGCCCTCCCCTCAGCGGGGCGGGCTTGCGATGATCGCAAGTACGATCTGCCTGTCCAAGATGGGCAGATCGTACAAGCTTTTAATTAGCTTACAACCATCGCACAACGAAAGTCTTGCGATGGTTGTAAAGTGCATGGCCAGTTTAAGAATAATCTGGATCAATACTGGAAACTATGGAGTGATAGAAATCCTAAGAATAATCTGGATCAATACTGGAAACTATGGAGGGATAGAAATCCTAAAAATAATCTGGATCAATACTGGAAACTATGGAGGGATAGAAATCCTAAGAATAATCTGGATCAATACTGGAAACTATGGAACCTGTGGACAGATAACAAGCTTCAGAAGATATACATATAAACAGGAAAATCTATAAGGTCAATTCTAATGTATGGAAAAACATAGCCAGCACCATACAAGGGTCTCGCACTGATACCTGCTTATACAGTATATAGTAAGACGAGATGAATGACAGACTCCCCCCACCCCCTGTCATCACTGGCTGACAACTGTCACATCCTCAGGTGGGCCGCAGCCCAGTCCTACCATGTTGCTCTCCGGTCTGCAGTTGATCCCTTCAGTCGGTATCTGACGTTCTCCGGCAGCCCCCGGACCCTCCTGTATTCTGGTTACAATGTCGCAGGCAGCTCCCAGTCCTCTATTTAGACGCAGCTCCACGGTAACAGGGAAGAGGAGGTGCCTATAGCCATCGCAACCACATCGCCGGAGAGGCCTCGTTACGTCACGTGATCTGCACCAGACAACCCACCGGAGAAAGGACAGGCCTCATTGGAGGTACGTAAGACCCCGTGTGATTAGTTCCCGCCTGCTCTGTATGTTCCCGGACGGTGTACAGGTTGCTAGGATACCGTTCTGCGCCTCAGTCCGTTCTCCAGCTAAACGCGCGCCATCAACGACAACAACAACAACACGCTGTGATTTATTAAACTGCTTTTTTATCTATTATTATATATATATATATATTGTCCCAGATTTAGCTGGTGTACAAACGTGGTAAGGACAAATTTTGTTCACGTGAAGTACTCCTAGGTTATTCACAGGGTGTAGGACTGTACCCAGAGATTATTAAAGGCCGAGTCCGCTGTTTTCCCTAAAGAAATAATTACACACATAGTACAAAAAAACTACATTTATGTGTACAAAAAAACTACATTTATGTATTCATTTTGCATTTGAGCCTGCAAAGTTTTGCAACCATAATCAGTGTTTCAGGGGTACAATTAGGGTCGCCACCTGTTCTTCAAGCGGAACCCGAACACTCTAGCGATGCGCGGACATTTTTTGGGGAGAATGAGTTGTAGCTTATTCATATGTAAATACAGTAGGAGGCCAGTAGCCCCTATCTTAATTTTGGTTGCCCCTGTTTGCCTGACATCTTGTGTCCGGGTTTCTGCTGCCATGAAACCCGAACACGGCATTCAAAACCCGAACTGTCCGGGTGAATCCTGGACAGGTGGCAACCCTAGGTACAATGTTCAATCTCCTGTGGATTTTTCCTCCCTGCCCCTATCTATACAGAAGTCAGTAGCATCACAACGGGGATGTGGCCCGCACCATGTGACACAGTCATGGGGGTGACACCAAAATGACTGACAGTGATTTTGGTGTCACCCCTTCTAAAATGTCGGGCACTCGGCCATGGACTGAGAGCTCGACAGCTGCAGGAAAAAGGCACACCCTTTTCTGCCGAATAAATGTCCCCTCCTCTCCTTGCCAGCTTCCTGATTGGTCAGGAAGCTGGGCGGCCAGTCATTACCTGCCCCCCGAGTCCCAGATTTAGCTGGTGTACAAACGTGGTAAGGACAAATTTTGTTCACGTGAAGTACTCCTAGGTTATTCACAGGGTGTAGGACTGTACCCAGAGATTATTAAAGGCCGAGTCCGCTGTTTTCCCTAAAGAAATAATTACACACATAGTACAAAAAAACTACATTTATGTGTACAAAAAAACTACATTTATGTATTCATTTTGCATTTGAGCCTGCAAAGTTTTGCAACCATAATCAGTGTTTCAGGGGTACAATTAGGGTCGCCACCTGTTCTTCAAGCGGAACCCGAACACTCTAGCGATGCGCGGACATTTTTTGGGGAGAATGAGTTGTAGCTTATTCATATGTAAATACAGTAGGAGGCCAGTAGCCCCTATCTTAATTTTGGTTGCCCCTGTTTGCCTGACATCTTGTGTCCGGGTTTCTGCTGCCATGAAACCCGAACACGGCATTCAAAACCCGAACTGTCCGGGTGAATCCTGGACAGGTGGCAACCCTAGGTACAATGTTCAATCTCCTGTGGATTTTTCCTCCCTGCCCCTATCTATACAGAAGTCAGTAGCATCACAACGGGGATGTGGCCCGCACCATGTGACACAGTCATGGGGGTGACACCAAAATGACTGACAGTGATTTTGGTGTCACCCCTTCTAAAATGTCGGGCACTCGGCCATGGACTGAGAGCTCGACAGCTGCAGGAAAAAGGCACACCCTTTTCTGCCGAATAAATGTCCCCTCCTCTCCTTGCCAGCTTCCTGATTGGTCAGGAAGCTGGGCGGCCAGTCATTACCTGCCCCCCGGCTTCCTGATTGACCAGAAAGCCAACTCCATGGCTTTCTGGTTAATCGAGGTAGCATGGAGCCGGTTTCCCGGCCAATCAGGAAGCTGAGCGCATAGTCATTACCACCCCCTGTGAAGGTGGCCAATTAGAAAGCCAGGTGGCGAGCTATTAATTCACCTGGTGAATCACGCCGCCAGGCTTCCCAGCTAATCAGGAAGCCGGGCGGCATGTCATTACACGCTGCCCGGCTTCTTTAATGGGACTTCTGGTATCGGTATTCAGTATCGGCGAGCACAGGAAAAAAATATTTCAGTAATCGTATTTGATACAGAAAAATCAGTATCGGTGAAACCCTAATTTCCACTTTTGCAGCCAAATTGGGATAATTCCTAGTTTATTTTTGTTACATGTTCCCATTCACATCACATAGTTATAAAACATTTGTTACATTGCTGTTTACTTTTCCTTGCTCTTTTCTGAAAACCCCAAAACCAAAATGTTATCCTGCTATGTATTGTTAAGGAGGGGGCTGGGGAGGTAATGTCTACCATAATTAACCCTGTCTGTGCTGTGCTGGCAGATTCTATTATTAGTTGTAAATTATATTAGAATATTGTCTGTCAACAAAGGGTTAAATGAAATCTCCACCTTTGTTCTAAAATCAATATAGCATGTAAATTGCTACACAAGCCACTCATTTCATGTTATGAAACCTTATTACCTTTCCATTTCAATCTGGAGCCACTGTGATTTTTATAAATTCTTTAAAAAATCCAGTGCAATATGGCAACCTGGAGGCGTTCATGTACATAATGCCCCCAGAAATGTCACTTCCTGCTTTTCTGATTGGCTGACTGATTTTTTCAGACGTCTGCACTAATATACAAGGCACATTTTAGGCATCCCCTGCAATTTTTGGTGAGATAGCCCGAAAGGGTTACTTATAGGGAGGCACCAAAATTTCAGCCGCTGAAACATATTGGCCGAAAATGGCACTTTTGGCAAAATGCAGAAAGTGGCATCTTTTGCCCGAAATAACAGTGCATCCCTGCTTTCTTATCTCCTCCTCCCATCGACCCCGGGGGGAGGTGAGCTGTAAGCTGTCACTGGAGGCCGGCGTTGCCGGAGAGGATTCAGCTGTCAGAGGAGATCGTGATCTCCTCCCCGCACTGTTCGTTCAGCCTCCTGTGATGGCTGTGCGGGGTTAATGGTGGGCTGTGCGGCTCTCAGGTGGGTGTGCGGGGTCTATGCTGGCCTGTGTGGGGTCTATAGTGGGCTGTGTGACTCTAAGGTGGCTGTGCGGAGTCTATGCTGGGCTGTGTGGGGTCTATGGTGAAATGTGCAGCTCTTAGGTGGCTGTGCGGACTCTATGCTGGGCTGTGCAGGGTTAATGGTGGGTTGTGCGGCTCTCAGGTAGCTGTGCGAGTTCTATGCTGGGCTGTGCGGGGTCTATGCTGGGCTATGTGGGGTCTATGGTGGGCTGTGCGGCTCTCAGGTGGCTGTGCGGGGTCTATGCTGGGCTGTGCGGAGTCTATGCTGGGCTCTTTGGTGGGCTGCACTGCTCGCAGGTGGCTGTGCAGACTCTATGCTCTGCTGTGTGAGGTTAATGGTGGGCTGTGTGGCCGATATGCTAGCCTGTGCGGTCTTACCTGGGCTCCCAGTCGGTCTCGGTGGGTATTACCGGTATTGGTATCGGTGCATCCCTAATGGTAACCTATTGAGGAAGTAACACACCAATAGTTTCTGCTGCAAGACACTTAAAGGAGAACTATGAGGTGAGTGCTTTTCACTCACCTTATAGTTCTAGCCGACCTGTGACAATGAGACTGTCACAGGTCGGCTTAGTAGATTGGGAAGTGAGCGAACACATACCGACGGTCGCTCACCTCTCGATCCTGTCACGGCAGAGAGCCGTGACAGGGGAGGGTCTGGATTCCCTCCTCCCCGCTCCGATCTGCCAGCGCTGACTGGCGGAACGGACGGGGGAGGGGGCGGGTACAGCTGGCTCTGCCTCTAGATAGGCAGAGCCAGCTGTCACTCACGCAGCTCAGTATACCGTGAGCCGCAGCTCGCGCTATACTGCGGAGTCTCAGTATACCGCGAGCTGTAGCTCGTGGTATACTGAGCTTAGGGTGACGGGAGGACGCTAGTTTGTGTCCTCCCGTTACCCTAAGGAGAACTATGGGGAAAACCCCTAACCCCATAGTTCTCCTTTTAAAGGCAAAAAAGTCCAGGACACCCATTTTTTTTACAGACACTTTAAATGTTAATTTTACAAACAAGAATTGAAAGTCACCTCCCTGCTGGCACCTACCTGGTTCACCTATACAATAATGAATGCATGAAACAACCGTGAGCCAAGGTAAACGTATATAATGTACATACATGTCCACAATTCACGTGAGCTTATCCGCACTCCACCAGCAGCAGTGGTTCATCACAGTAGCCAAAGGACATCACAATTGTACAGATGTATTTTTGTACCATCAACAGAATGAATTAACTTGAATAAAGAAAGTGTGAACCTTGTGTAGCAGCCATGTACACACATCTACTCAACTGAGCATAGCTTCTACCACCCTGGTGCCTAACATGGCATCTATTCTGTGGCCACAGGGGTCCCTGAAAACAATAACCAGAGTTTCCTTTACTGAGGCGCTTAGTTAGGCTATGAACTTAGCACAGAGACAAAGGCAGGACTGCCATCAAGGGTGATATGGACGATACTCATATGAGGGGCCCTGGCCCCTTACATGCGTATTGGCCGTACAAGGGGCAGCATCAGACCGGCGGCAGAGGAAGCTGGGCCCCTGGAGCGCTCTGTGTCCAGACAGCGCGTCACTAATCCCTGCATCCAGCCAGCGCATCACTAATCCCTGCATCCAGTGCGTTACTAATCCCTGCGTCCAGCCAGCGTGTCACTAATCCCTGCATCCAGCCAGCGCGTCACTAATCCCTGCATCCAGTGCGTTACTAATCCCTGCGTCCAGCCAGCG